TTAAACTAATTAGGTCAACTTATGCTTGTCAAAAAAAAAGAAAACCTCCAAACCTCTTTGTGGGACAGAATGAAGAGACATTCTTTATGCTCTCAAGGGTCTTAAGAGGAGTAGTATCCTAACCAATTAGTTTGGGATGTGAGTGAACATTCGGTATAGTAAAATTCATTATAGTGTTGTTTGTTCATACTAGCAAAAGTCTGGAAGCAATCAGACTACTCAGTTGGGATTGGTTAACTGCTATGCTATCCATATGATACAAATTTAACATATAGACATTTAAAATATTTTAAAAGATTAGTTATATGGAAACACATCTCCAACAAATTGTTAAGCAAACAAAAACAGGTCTCTGAATAGTATGTGCACTCTGACTTTTTGCTCATATACTGACAGATGTGCTGTGCTGAAAAACGGCAAGCCAAAGCAAAGGTTCAGAAGTAGCCTCAGAAACAACATTTCTGTCTGACCTTTATCTGCCCTTCCATGTTTTGCCCCTGACTCTCCTCTGAAGCGCATCACAGAACTAGCCCTCCTCTTTTCGAGGTTGAGTCATAGAAACCAGAACCCCTTGCCCTGAAAGCCAGCCATAAATACTAGAATTATTACTCTCACCTTCTCCCAGCTTTCTGACAAGGAGCTGGCCAGGAAGAAGTTCTCTGACCTTGTCTGAAAGCAGCTCCTAAGAACACATCCTAGGCAGAGTCCTGCTCTGTACTGCACCTGGGAGGAAGGAAAGCTTCAACTGAGGGCCAAGAAGGCCCTGCCAAGACAGGCCTTCGAGTTTCCCACTCAGTCTGTTCCTGCTAGCTCACACACTTCCCATCTAATCTCACTTCTAATATGGTTATCCTTGCTTCATCAGACATAACTATAGAATCAGATCCTCTGAGTCTTTTGGGATTTAATCTGAAAGCTCTTTCATCACATAAAATTGTAATCAAGTAAATTTGTTAGGGATTTCTCCTGTGAATTTTGTCTAATGCCAGTTCCTTTTAGAAGACTCAAATAGCAATTTTTTTTGTTTGTTTGTTTTGAGACAGGGTCTTGTGACGTGGTTCAGGTTGGCCTTTTGAACTTGTATGGCTCAGGCTAGCCTCAAACACAGGGCCATCCTCCTACCTCAGCCTCCCAAGTGCTGGGATTACAGGTGTGTCCCACCACATCCAATTATGACTTTTAAACAATATATGTTATGACTTTTAAAAGATCATTGGGTAATAAACACGTGGAACTTACAGATCTTTAGAATTAGAAACCACATGGGTCAAAAGAATAATAAGTCCAAAGAATGAAATTATTTGAAATAAATTATAGTTAATGACTCCCTAAAAAATAAGAAATGCCTGAAGAATTTCTAAATGTATTTGAAGTTGCTATCATAGATGCAATAATTTAATCTACTTTAACAGAAGCCAGTGAACAATACAAAGGAAGAAAACAGACTGAGAAATAAAAAAGAGATCTAGAAATTACTGTTGCAGTTGAGTACGGTGATACATATCTGTAATTCCACTCTTGGGAGGCTGAGGCAGAAGGATGAAAACTTTGAGGTCAGGCTGGGATACAGAATGAGATGCTATCTAACAGCAAAACAACACATTCCAGAAGTTGCTGTCACTGGCAAAGACTGGAAAACAGGTGGAATGGATTATCACTCTGATCCAACAGTACATTTGTGTACAGTGCCATGGTTTCAATGATCTGATACTGACTCTGCAAAAAAGCTGTATAATAGTCACACACTTAGCAGGGTGTGGTGGTGCATGCCTTTAATCTCAGCACTCAGGTGGGAGAGCAAGAGGATCATTGAGAGCTCGAGGCCAGTCGGGGCTACATAGTGAATCCAGGCCAACCTGAACTACATAGCGAGATACTGTCTCAAAAAGAAAACGTTACACACCTGGGACGGCATTTGACATGTTCTAAGGCAGTGCCTTTGTCTAATTTGTACTGAAGATCACTGGAGATGGGCAGGCCACTCATGTGTGTTTAGTTTGCATCTAAACTTCTTGCACATATACTCAAAACACACTGAATAGTAACCGTTTCTTGACTAAACCCTGTGGCTTAACAGAAAGTTATTTTTCAATCCATCTAGAGCTGTCTACCAACTCAGTTGTTATTTTTCCCAGTTTGTGTTCTACCCTTTCCAAATTTTCTTTCTCTTGCTTTTTCTCTTTTCTTTTTGGTTAGGTAGTTGGGGTTCTACTCCTGTGTCCCTCACTAATATTTGTATGATCTTGGGCAAGGTGTTTTTCCTAGAGTAAGGCACAAGTGATATGTGTGAACGCACTTTATAAATTTCACTAATGAACTAACTAGATGATCGTTAAATTTTTCTCAAGTTCTAAAATTTTTATTTAATATATTTTTAGTGAATTCATCTGACCTAGGAACCAGCAATTGTGTTTTGGTACTTTTAAGGCTGTTTCTATTATACCAGGGTTGCTGCTGATTGAATACGTACAGAATGATTTGTAATTTTAAAGTAGCAGCATCTAAAACAGATAATTCTTTACTTGCTTACGCTGAATGTTACTGTAAATGATACATGGATTGTTAAGAAGTTTGAGTCATAGCCAACATCTAAAAACATCATTTCCTACACTTAAACACACACACACAGAGTTTGCCCTTCTTAGAGCTAATAAATTTAAAGCTTAAAATGAATCCAATTGAAATCACATTTGCAAAGGCTGTGGCAACTCATATAGTATTTCAGTATATCACCATGCTAGAATAGTGACTAAAGATGGCAGGAAACAAATGAGGACAGATATCAGAAAATTATATATATATTTTTTTCTGATATGTGTCTATATATATATATATATATATACACACACATATATATGAATAAAAATTATACACACACACACACATATAATCTCAATGTTGGAAGCATGCTGAAAGTTGATGGGTTCCCCAAGTAAGACTTTATGGAGCTGGGATCTAGCTTAGTGGTACAAGTACCTGCCTTGCAAGCACACAGTCGTGAATTTGATGCCTGGAACCAAAAGAAAAATTTTGTGGGTTTACAACTGCTCCAAAAAACAAAACACTGAAAAAGGAGGTCTAATTGTTGACTTTTTACTTTGTCAAAATTTTTAAAAAACAACAGTCAGCAAGGTGTGGTGGATCATGCCTATAGTCCCAGCACTTGGGAGGCTGAGGCAGGAGGATTGCTGAGCATTGGAGACCAGCCTGGGCTACAAAATGAGCTCAAGAGACCCAGAACTGCAGAGGGAGATCTTGTCTCAAAAGACCACACACATACACAAAATCATCATCTACCATCAGTATCACTTTATAAAAAGGCATAATGATACATGTGCAAGAAAATATCAGAAGATTGTGAAATTAAGTAAATGAAAAATGTTACATTTGTATCTATCCATTTCCATAGACCCTTGGGAACACCCTCCCCACCCCTACCACAAAAATTGAGAATTTGTATCACTACACCCAAGAATTCCTCAAGGTGAGGAATTTATTCAACTTTGAATGCCTATCACAGGAAATCAGCAGGAAACTATGCCCTGGATAACTCAAGCAGTTTTTTTTTTAACAGTCACACACACACACACACACACACACAAGCAGGTTTTTTTTAACAGTCACACACACACACACACACACACACAGGAGCGCTGCCCACTGGAGATAGCTCCCAGGGGCTTCACCCTGAGCTAAATCTCCAGCCCTTATTTTTTATTTTGACGCAGGGTCTTGCTTAATTGCTGTACATATTGCTCAAATTCTGCTTAAATTTGGGATTCTCCTTACTCCAAATGCCCAGAGTACAGGGATTACAGAAATCCACCACCACACCCAGTTACTTTTTTTTTTTTTTTTTTTTTTTAGCAGACTCTAACACCAGAGGATTTTAAATTAGTGAACACATGACTTAGAGTCACCAAAAAAAGAATGTCTGATAGTGCTGATTTGATAAGTCAGGCTGTCTAGATCTTGGAGGTGACTCCAAACTCCATGCTAAACCTTAGGGAAAGTTTCTTTCCCGTTTGGGCAATATACCTTCCCAGATAAACCCCATTACAATTTCAGCTTTCCGAGTTGCACTTAAACTCTTTATATTTACTCTCATTTTCATTTTTTCTCATTTACATTTTAACAAATTATTATATTAGAGTTGTTTTTCTGTTTAAATTTTTACAGCCGATGCTAGATTCACATTACAGATGAGAACGTCAGTCATGAGCTTTCTTTTGTGATTTACCAAGTCCGATTTTCTCAGGTCAAATTTTGTAAAGAATAGGGTCAAAAGTTGACGCTATAGTGGGTATGAGGCGCACACCTGTACTCCCAGCACTCAGGAGGCTGAGACAGGTAGATCACCGCCAGTTTGAGGCCAGCTTGGTTTACAGTGAGTTCAAGGATAGCCTGGACTACAGTGAGACGTTGGCTGAAAAGAAATAAATTAAACAGAATGACCTTTTGACCAATTTTTAGAATATAAAAAAGAGGAAAGTATTGTGTGGTTTAACCGTTGTCAGTTTTCATTTTTATCCTGTATATTTTCAATATAACCAAGATACGATTCTTTGAGGGCTTTTGGGGGGAGGGCAGGCAGTAACAACTTTTACTATGTTCAGTTTTGTTTTGGTTTTTTACTGATGTCAACTTTTCCTGTTGCTTTTATTACTAAAATTTCTTTATGAAGCAAGCGGCTGTTAGATGTATAGTCTACGGACAACAAGAAGACATGGCATCTAAGCAATCTCTGCTTCCCTCCTTTTCACCTCCTGTAAAAATGAGGGTCTCTGACACTCCGGAGAGACCAGAATTATAACCACGGGTTACCAGCGCAGATCTGCTGAAACCAGAGGCCCTTCCCTTCAACCCAGCTCGCCGAGGGCTGCTTTTCTCTTCCTCTCCACTAGAGGCGACAACCGCTTTCCAAACGGAAACGAACTGGCGCAGGCCCGCCCAGGGGAGTGGCCCGAGAAATATCAAAGGTTAAAAATCGTCTAAAGACAAAAGACTAAGGTCAGTACCCAACTCCGAAGCAGGTCTGCAGCTTTTATCTCCGCGGTAATACAGGTGACCCCTTCCCTAACGTGACCTCCAACCCTCTAGCCACGGCGCCTCCACGGACACCAGGTGGGACCCAAGTGACTAACAGGTAGCAAGACTGAAACAGTCGAGGACCGGAAGTGGAAGAGAGCCCGGGGCGGGGGTGAGGCTAGGCCACGCTACGGCTGCGCAGTCGGCAGGCGTCGCAACGCGCCTGCGCGGCTGGGCGGCGACAGAGTGACGCTCGGAGCGTAGGCCGCCAGTCTCACGGGTCTGGTTCCGCCCTCTCTCTCACTGCAGACCCTTCGGGGCTAGAGCTCGCGATCCCCTTCCCAGAGTGCCCTGCGCTGTGAAGAAGCGACTCCCGGGGACTGGGGGCATTTTGTGTTGGTTGGAGCCGGAGTAACAAGATGGCGGCGTCAGCGGAGTGACAGGGGTCTCCCCGGGCTGGAGTCGGCGGCAGTGGTGGCAGCGATATCGCCGCCCTAACTCACCGCGCCCTTATTCCAGCCCGCGACGCTGCAGTGAAAGCGAGGCAGCGGCAGCCGCCCGGAAACAAGTAGCCTAACCCAAGTAACAGCAAGAAACGCCTCACAAACTGCGGCCTGGCTAAAAAAAAAAAAAAAAAAAAAAAAAAAAAAAATCTGACTGAGTAACGGCGATCGGGTTTCCCCCGGCCAGTTCTTAGCCCTGTAACGCCGGGAAAGGCCTCCGTTTTCCCGTTCCTGCGCCCTCCTCCGTAGCCGTGCTCAGCAGACGAGCCCCAGGGGCTTCCGTCCTCCCTCAGGCGTCGGGGCTCGGCCCCGGGCTCCGGCTTCGTCTCCCAGGATGGCGAGCAGCAGCGGTTCCAAGGCCGAGTTCATTGTCGGAGGGAAATACAAACTGGTGCGGAAGATCGGGTCTGGCTCCTTCGGGGATATTTACCTGGCGATTAACATCACCAACGGCGAGGTAATCACCCGGGATGGGGTCCGGGGTAGCGCGGCGCCTTCCTCGCCCCCTCCAGCCCCGAGCTGCCCGGCCGCTGCCCACCGCGCGCACGCACCGGGGAGGCCGGCGCCAGCCTCCTCCGCTCCGCTCCGCTCCGCTCCCCTTCCCTAAAAGGGAAAGAGCCGGCAGGAGGCCGAGTCCACTAAGTTTCCCAGCTTATTAAAAATGCCTCTCAAGTGTCCTGTGGTCAGAGAGAAAAGCGGAACGGGTAAAACACTTGGATGCCCGTGTTTTCCTTTATAGTTGGTTGGACCGGGACTCCTGTTCCGGTGTGGACAGTTCCCGATGGCCCAGGTCCCCCGAAATCTCGCATTCCGGTGCTGGATGAATCGTTGCGCTGCACTTTAGATGTAGAGGACGTGCGGATTTCGTCATGACCCCCCGAAGAGGCCTTGAAGGCTGGTTGCCTCGGTTTTAGAATTACGAGAGCTTCCCCTTCCCAGCCTGCCCTCCACTCCCCCAGTAGCGCGACCTGGACCTTTGCTAATGTCTCCTCTCCTTTCCCAAGTGACATCGGCTCCTCCGTAGGGATGTTGATGCCATCACCCCCTCTTTCCCCTGCAGGAAGTGGCAGTGAAGCTAGAGTCTCAGAAGGCCAGGCATCCCCAGTTGCTGTACGAGAGCAAACTCTATAAGATTCTTCAAGGTGGGGTCGGCATCCCCCACATACGGTAAGCACTCGTGCGCACGTAGGTGACCGCCGGGGACAGTGGACTGGGGAAACGGGCACCAGCCAGATCCGATCTCGCTATCCAGTTACTGTGCTCTGGCTCCTTAAGCCCGGGGGTTTCCCATCAACCATTAGTCATCCTAGGCACTGGGTAAATTCTAGTTTGCAACTTAGTTGAAAATGTCATTGTTACATTCCACTGTCTTTACTTCCGCCGTTTTCCCTCTCCCCGAGGCTTTCATTTGTAGTTGAGCGAGCAAGTCATCTCAGGTCCAGCTCCCTACGCCGAGGGTTGACTGCTGCTCTCCTTGCGGCTGCACCTCTGATGTTCAGGGGTTTGTCCAGGGAAGTGGATCCAAGGGTGCCAGAGTGACCGGGCTTAGCCAGTTCGGGTTGCCATTGGAGCTGGCTAGGGAAATGGCTGCTCTTTTGTTGTGTTTTTGTTCCAACATGTCTTCCTCCTCCGCTTAGAAAATGGCGGAGCGACGTGACTCAACCCCATATTCCTGCCCTTTTCTCAACTACAAGTTCTGCTTGTTTGAGACTTCCTTTAGCAGCCCTGCGTGGGTTAACCCTTTGGAAAGCCAACAATGAAGCTTCAGCAGGTGGTGGTGTATAAGGAAGGAAATGACAGTTAGGTCTGTGATCTCTGCAGCAGATGCAACATGAAATTGGTTTTATTTTTTTTTAAGGCCTTTCTTTTCCCCTCAAAGGTGTTAACTACTCTCTTTTGAATAGTAATGCTTCATAATTTTAGTCCGTACCAAGTTTTAATGGGTGATGGCAAAGGCAGTTTGAGCAGCATCAGCTGTGTTGAAATATTCCTAGGTCAGTTGTAAAAGAAAGCATCACTTAACCGCAGTTTCATCAGTAATTTTAACCTGTTGAGTTGTTCACATCAAGGAAATTGTGGCGTGTAGGGGGATTGGATATTGGTGAGTGCAAATAGAAATAGTCATGATGAAAAGTGATCAGTCAGATAAAAAAGATAGTTTTTCTTTTAGATGGTTAAACGATTCTGAGTAACTTATTTTTGAGATTAAGAAACCTCTTTCCTAAGATAGAGACTAAACGTTGCTTAATAACATTTTCAGCAATACTCTAACATTTACAAAAAGAGTGAGAATGATTGAGAATTAAGTGGATTGATACATACTGTATCCTCTCCAATACTGGCTTTTTGTTTTTCAAATCCCAAATTAAGCATTGTATTACCTGCATTAATTCTGAAGTGGAAACAAGCAATATGGCAATGTACTTTTTTTTTTTTTTCTTTTCTTTTTTTATCGGTACCAGGGATCGAACTCATGACCGCCTGCTTGCAAGGCAGGTGCTTATGCCGCTGAGCTAAATCCCCAGCCCCTTAGGCAATGTACTTTTTAAAAACTTGAAAAGACCAAATTTATCTTGTGCAGCAAAGATTGTGAAATTTGGGATAATCCAGATTTGAGCTTTTTAATAATTCCCCTCCTTAATAAAAACTTAACCATATAGGGAAAACTCTTGCTTTTCCACTTGTTTTTTCCAGAATTTCTTACAAATAGAATCATACAGACAATAATGAGGTCATTTGTAATGTGGCACCTTTCAAAATTCTTTTGATATTCATCTGTGTTGGGAGATTTTATGAATTTCACAAGTTGGACTTAATGTGTTTGAAATAATCTTAAAATGATTGAACATGTATTTTCAAGGCCCAAGTTAGGAACATTTTCTTTTATCTGGTAGCTTTTTATTTCAAGACAACACCAATATAGACTAGTGAGGCCAATGAGTAAGATGCTGAAAAAGCATACAAATAAATGAAATTAACTTGTGAGCAGACTAATAGGTACCTGTTATAAGGTGGTGAGTGCAGAGAGAGTTATGGTAGTTACAAACTCTGTGGGTGGAGCTAAACAGATTAACCTGCCTTTCAATTTAAGGCTTGCTAGGAGAGGATATGAGATTTCAGGATCTGGCTCTAAGGAAGAAAGCTTAGTGAACTGGTTTGGGCATCCAAGAATAGTGTGTGGCTCCTGGGAGTAATGTTTAAGGCAGAATGTAATTGGCTAAGGGTGGGGAAAGCATGCATTGTTTCAGGTATGATAGGGACCAGGTACCTAGGAACAAAGGTGGTTCACTGGTTTAAAATAGTGAAGCGATAGTTTTTCCACTGAAAGACAAAAGAAAGATTGACTGGAAATTATTTGGATACCAAACCATCCGTCTTCCTATCTTCTTTGTTCCTCATTATTTATGTATCACCTATATGTAGAATTTGCTTTACCAATTAAGTATTTATTTATTAATATTGAACTAAGTTGACTGTTTAAACAGGCAGACTGTATTACCCAATCTTAGAAGTATGACATAATTTCAAAAAATGCATTTTTTTTTTTTGCCACATTTACTCGTTGCACCCCATCCCACTCCCGTGTTTATTGGATTTTTAAAGTGCTGTGCTTTGGGGTATCTTAAAACAAGGGCTTAAAATTACCTGGCTTGCATAGCTGCTGACCTGCCTGATCAGGTCCTTCCTGTGTAATTTGAGAGGCCTATTATTAAGTAGAAGCCTAGTGTACAGTGTAAAAGCAATGAGAAAGGGTGGCATCCAGTCCTCGATATTGTAAGGAACTAAATCCTTGCAGAATTGACATTTGGAAGCCCACTTAAAGTTATTATGTTTCTGTTATAGTTCTTTTTTTTCCTTTTAATTGAATTAACATGTTCTTTAAAGGAACAATTATGGTAAACAGAAGAGTGCTTATCCTATGCAGTAGGTGTTAGGATTGAACTCAAGATCTGGCAGGTACTATTGACTAATGGTCCAGAGTCAGTCTCTTAACTTCTTTGAACCTCTCAGTTTCTTCAGCTATAAAAATAAGATTGATTTAATGATTTTCTAATTTTGCTAGGATGATAAACAGAAAACTTTGGGATTTTCTTTCTTTGGTGTGGTTTTTTTTATTTTTTTATTTTTGAGACTGAGTCTTGCTTTGTAGTCCTGGTTGAGTCCTCGCTGTGTAACCCAGACTGACCTCCAAACCCATGATCCTTCTGTCTCAGCCTTCCAAGTGCTGGGGGATAGCATTGCAGGTGTGTGTATCTTCATATGTGGCCTTAATCATGTTTTTTGTTCTTTCCCTAAAGAATGATAAGTATTCCAGCAGATAATGAAGTACTAATTAGTCCTTGACCTTGACTGTTAAGAGCAATTTAAATTGTCTTTTCGGCACTAAATGTATGCTCAGTAGCATTTTTTGAACTGGATAAAAACTGAGAGATGTACATAACCCAATTGCTCCTCATCACCATACATTAAAAGTTAGATTGTTGAGTCCCAAAAGTATTAAGTCTTTCTTTCTTTCTTTTTTTTTTTTTTTGTACTAGGAATCGAATTCGGGACCTTGTGCTTGCCAGGTAGACACTTAATGCCACTGAGCTGTATCCTCGACCTTTATACTGTTTAACTAGATGTTTATAATTTAGGGTATACGTTCCCTTTTTTAATCCTTTTAGGATTACAGGATAAGAATTTTTGTTGGAAACTGTTAATTTGTATGTAACTTATAATAAATATTTGTGAACATATGTGAAGTATATGGGTTTTACTTCCTTGATTTCAGTCATTAGAACTAAATCATTTTGTTTCAAAATACGTTTAAGTGGTATGTGAAGTATTAAAGTTTTCTCATGAGTTGTCAGTATTCACAAAGGTTGTTTACTGTCAAGAAATCTATGATCCCCAGCACCACATGTGCACACACAAAACCTGACTAGGTTGTGCCTCAGTTGTATTACACTATGGGATGCCATGAGTTCCTTTTCAATTACCAGGTCTATAAACAAAATAAAAATAAATTGAGTTTTTAAAATAAGTCCTTGATTAGGATGTCATGGTGCCCACCTGAGTTTGAGGCCAGCCTAGGCAAGTTAACAAGACCATCTCAATAAAAATAATTTTAAAATGAGTGAGTGGGAGTGTAGCTCAAGTGATTGAGTTCTCCAGTACTACAAAATAAATCAGTTCTTCAATTTAAAGAAACATCTTGCTGGGGTTATAAAAATACTTCATAGTTTTAAATGCATGAATACCTGATTTAAAATGATGTCGTTTTCCCTTTCCTCTATGTATGTATATGTGTATGTATGTGAATGTATTTTATTTTATTTTGAGACATGATCTCGCTGTGCAGCCCAAGCTGGTCTCAAACTTGAGGTGAGTCTCCTGTCTCAGCCTCTGAGTACTGGAGTACAGGCCATGCCAGGCTCTGTTACTGTTCTTGGGTGGCTCTTAACAGTTTTAGAGGACCAATATTTTTTTTTTTTTTTTTTTTTTAAGAGGACCAATATTAACAGAGTTTGAACTGATGCTGGCCTAATGGGATTTTTAAAAAAATGAAAGTGCAATTTACATGCAGTGAAATTTGCAGATTTTAGTGTGTGGTTGGATCTGTTTTGATAAGTGCGTCCGCAGCTCTGTTAGATAAGGAATAACTTCTCTTTTTGCATATACAGACTGCTAATCATTGGTAAGTGACATTCTGTGACACATAAGGTTAAATTTTTTTAAAAAGGTTTTTAAATGATAGTTAACACAACTGGATTTGATGTGTTGCTCATACCGAAAACTGCAGGTTATTAATCTATCAACATGGAAGTACACTGTAGGATTACCTGACAAAATAATTAGATGGTTGGGGCGACTGCTCAGTGGTAATTAATATCTTAACCTTATTCTCCACCTTTAAAGAGCGGTCAGTGAGTGATGGATGTGTTGTGGCTCTTCTAATAGGGGCTTTGGAAGTGCTATACAAAAAGATTTAGCTGAAGAGTATATTCTGATCCTCTGTTAAAGGGAAATGGAAAAAGCATTTTGAGTCAGAGTTTGGGTTCTGTTTGTTAGCTGTACTTTTTTTTTTTTTTTTTTTTTTGAGACTGGGGACAGTGGTGGCTTTATTGGCCAGGTGACTACTTGAAGGCAATGATGAAGCATGAAGAGTGGGTAGCCCTGATGCC